ATGACTTGCATGTATAAGAAATTCAGTCACTTAGAAAGCTCTGAACTCATGAGTGTACTCAAATTAAGAGTATACTGATCAAGCATGACTGAGAACATTCAGACATATACTCACAAGTGCCTGAATTATCAGATCATGAAAGAATCTAAGAAAGAGTTAGAATATGAGAAAGTACAATATTAGATAAAGTGTACAATACAACTGTTTAAACAATAAGAGATGAATCTCATAGACATATTACTATAAACATCAAATAGAAATTGATAAATAATCACTGCTATTGATTACACTACTGACTGATCAGTTATGAAAGCAGTTTCAGAGATAATAGAGAAGATGATGATGAAGTTTCTACATAATGAGATCTATGTTAACTATGAAATGCTGTGTGAGATTCTAACTGATAACAGTGCAAATCTTGTAGAAGAAGTGATGAGACATTTCATAAGTCAGTTATAGATAAGATATTGTAGAACAACATCATATCATTCACAGATGAATAGAAAGATGAAATACTTGAATGAAATCTTGAGCAACATGCTGATAAAATATCTAGTGAGTAAGTCTATAAGACTATGAGATGAATATCTCAGGCAGACACTACTGATCATGCAGATTCAACAGCATGCAGTCTTCAAGCATTCATTATTCTACCTGTTGTATGAATTGCATTCACACATCTCAGAGAATGCTTTGAAAAAGATGAAAGAGAAAACAGCAGTTACAGACACAGTAGTAGCAGTTGTGAATACAACAGTCACAGACACAGAATCAAGATTGAAAGAGATTAGTCACATACATGCAAAAGCTAATAAGTTACTTCTGAATTAAGCAATTCAATCAAAAAGAAGACAAGACTCACTTGTTAAGAAATTGAGTCTCAAGATGAGAATGTAAGTTCTCATATATAATAAGAGTTCTGAGAAGTTTCAATCTAGGTGATTTGAGTTATATAAAATACTCAAATCATATTCTCTGAAAATATATGTATTGAAAGAATCAGAGAGACAGATCTTACACAACTTAATTAATAATTCATAACTTATAAAAGCAAAGATATAAGATCTGAGTGAATTATAATTATCTACAGTACTATTATCAGTGTTGAAAAAGAAGAGACTTATAATTGAAAAGTCTCACAAAGTAAGAGAAATCATAGATGCTTATGAATCAGATGATCTCACTTATTTCAATCTTTTTATAATTATAAGAAAAGAATGAGAAGTAATAAAGAAATCAGATAAATATCATACTTTAATAAGTAATGAGACTGTAGCTGATCATACAATAACACACTGCAGACAGTAAGTATAACACAGTAAAGAGTGATCTCAGAGCAGTAGACTTGCACATGAGTCAGATTACAGAAGAAAAAGAAATTCAGAGTTGAATTCAACTGTTTACATCAGTTCAATTATGAAGATTATAGAGAATGAACTATCTGAAACATCTGTGAACATGTGAGACTAAGTCATCTTAATCTCTGAAAACACTCAGAGATCAGATGAGATTAGTTTCAATGAGCTATTCACTGTAGTAATCTAAGTGAGTAAAGAGAGACAGTATAATATATAAGACAGAATTATAAAAGATGAAAGCTGCTGAATCTAGTCACTGAATACTGTACTATATAGAGATTATATAAGAGTAGTGACTAGCAGATAAAGAAAAAGTGTAAGAAAAGAAATAATAGATTGATTATTAACTATAAGAGTCAGTTATAAAAGATAAATGTTATCATTAGATTAGACTGGCCGCCGGGACCATGAATTTCACATTTGGTCTCATTTGGTCTGGTTTCATACATTTCTTGGTGTGAGTCCCATCAGGACCAAGCCTCAAAAAAATCTGAAAATAAACCATTTCTGAGAGAAATGATGTGAAAAATGACCAGATTTAATTCAAGAACAGTGAAATGAGAGTAATTTTCCAGAATAAACTGTGAAAGATGATCATTCTTTCAAAATCAGAATGAGACTGAGACTGAAGGTCAAAATCAGTCTCATTCAGTTCATTCAGTGATTGCTTATATAATCAGAATTTGATAATGATTATTGATAACACTCATGAAATAACTAAATACATTCTTGTGCAAGTTTATTCTTCACTTTCTCATGAAAACTACACTTCTCTGATATACTGTGATCAGAGGTATTAAACTGTCCGATAATTTCATGTTTTACAATCATGAGTTTCTTGATTGTTTCTTCTTGTAATTGTCTCTGATAATAGTGATAAATATCTTGACTTGAGTTGAACTTTCACTTCATTCTCATCTCTGTCAATGAAATTGTCAGAATATCATGCATCATCAGTGCAATAGTTGAATATGTACTCTTAACAATTTTTCATAACTCTAGAATTGATTTGATGTGTAAATTTGTCAGATCATCTTGAAGATAGCAGTCAAATTCAGTTTTATAAGCATGTAGTTTTGCCTGATTTTCAGTTGCAATCAATATATGTAAGTTCTGTTTCAAAGTTAGTATTATAGTTCTATGTGATATGAAGTATTATCAAAGATTGTTACTTACTAGAGAATTGTATTTCACTGTCTTCACATCTTGAACATCTGCTCATTCAAATCTCTGATAGTTGGCATTGTAGTAGTCTCAGACTAATTTAACATATAAGTCTTATTTCTCCTCTGTTCAATCTTGAGAAGTGTAGATATTAACTCAATGAGAGAGATCTAGTAGAGCTGCTATAGCATAGTACTCTGCAAAAGATTGTTCTGTTTTGCTGTAGTAATATACTAGTTTATCTCTTACAGCAACAATAGCCTGTACTATAGCATTATCTCAGACTGAATTTCTTTTTGAGTGATTCAACTGCTTCTCAAGATGAGTAAATAAACTGTTATACACTCATCAGACTGACTGCAGCATTGATGTATAAGTGATTGAGACTGTCTTTGTTATCTTATAAAACTGAAACAGTAAATCAATCACATATTTCAACTGAGTTTACTTCATATCAGAAAGTTTCAATATCTGAATCTTTTTCTGATCAGAGTGTTACACTCAATAATCAATTATCTGATGCAATTGAAGAGTCTGAATAGTTATCTTATATATTGAACTTCACTGTGTTCTAACATTCTGTATCATATTCAGTGATGTGACTGATTTATTTATTTATTAAATATCATGAAATCATTGTTATTGTTTAGAAGAGATACAAATTGCATTAGCAATGTTTTGAATCTATGATATTTAAATTATTAGTCAATCTATTCAAAATTAACAGTAGTGTTATCAAAAAGTGTTATTAAAAAGCAATATCAAAAAGTGTTATTAAAAAATATTATCTTTTGCAAAGTGAATGCAAAAGTTACTTGAGTAATCACTTTCATCTCATTCTCATCTCAAGAATCAGTTATCTCATTATTCTTTATCTTGATGTTAAGATTCTTTATCAGTGTTTGCATCACAAGTTGAACCACATGAGCAATGCAGGGAATATGACCTTGTTTATCATTTCAGGAATACAAAGTCAATTTTTGCTTTAAGCTCTTCATCATAGTGTAGTTATTTGCAGCATTGTCAGTTGTAATTATAAGAAGACTGAGACTAATATCTCAATAGTCATTTTTAATCACAGTCATTAATATCTCTGTTATATAATCCTCAGTATGACTACTGATCAATGATTCAAATTCAATTAATATCTCTCAATAAGTTCAGTTCTTATCAATGTAATAACATGTAACTCTTATAAATGCAAGATTGTTTATACTAGTTCATGTATTCACTCTGAGAGACACTCTTCAATGATTCTTCAACTCTGATTCTAGATGTTGTATATTAACTTTGTAGTGTGTCTTGAGATTGGACTGAAGACAGAATTGATGTGAAATATGAAGATTTGAATTAAGCATTTGAAGAAGTGTTTGAAATTCAGAGTTTTCAATTGATCAAAGAGAAAGATTCAGAGATATACACATGTGAAGTAATTATTCACAGAAGTTATCAGATAAGAGTTATGAAATCAGAGTACTGATACAGAGTTATTTTCACATGATTTTCTTCAAATTAGAAAGTTAGTGTTATTAAAAATCATTACCTGGTAGAGTAACTTATCAGCTCAGTAGTAATTTTCTGATTATTTTTCTTTTATTATCTGTATTCTGATGACTTCAGATGTCAGGAAATTTCTTCAGAGTCATGATCAGTTCATAATAAATGTTTCTGAATGAAGTTACAGTGATTGTAGCAGAGAGATAACTCTTCAGTAATCTACAATACAATCTGTTGATAATTATTTCATAGTTCATCTTGATATTTGTATTAAGTTTTTCATAAATTTCATGATCTGAAATCAGATGTGAAGAATGAAGTGATCATTCATCATGATTGAAAGAGAGCATTCTGTGTTAAATTGTAAACAACATAGACTTTGTGATTCATAGTGATTTCTTAAAGAGTTTATGAATCTTCAATAGAAGTAAAAGAAGTGAAAGAAGTAAATTCAGAAGATATGATAATAATTTGAGAAAGATAATAATTTATTTTCAATAACTGATCACTGATGTGTGTAAGAAGAATTAATATAAGAGAAAATAATCTTATTTCTTAGCTTAGTTATAATTTTAGTACTAACTCAGATTGAATATCATTGATGTATAAAAGTAAACAAATAATCTTGATTAATCTCTGTCATATTTCTTAAAATATATTAATATTGTGAAAGAGAGTGTTACTAAATTGCATTATTAGATGATATCATTAAAAATATATTAATATTGTGAATATCAATATTGAAAAAATGTTGATACTTATATATTATAGTGATTTGTGAATCATGATAGTTAAATATATATATATATATATATATTGTTCCTGACTTGATTACAACTTGTACAATAATTTTTAAAAACTCAAAATTAATTTCAATTATTAATAATTATGAACTTATAACTAACTAATATAAAAAGAAAAAAACTTTTTCTACTCATCATCTTTCTTCTCTTTCTCATTCTTCTTATCATTCTTTATAATTCACTTCTTATTCTTCTTCTTCTTCTTCTTCTCCTCATCTGAGATGATAATCATCTCAAAATCTCTCTCTACTGCCTTCTCAGAGAAGAGTTCCTGCTGCTTTCTCTCAGCCAGATCAATCTGCATCTCAAAATCCTGCATTTCCTGGTCTGCTGTCTCAGGTTTCACTTCAGTGATAAGCAGATTGACATGCTCAGAGAGCAGGGCTGTCTTCTCAATGTTCTGAATTATAAAACATATTTGAGACCTGAACAAGGCCTCAATTCTCTTCTTCTCTGCCAGCTTCTGCTAATCAATTAGAGAACAGAAGTATTATCAAAAATTGTTATCTCTCAATAAATAAAAAACTTATCAGTTTTGACTTCTTTATCTTCTACTTTAACACTCTCTCAATCTTCTTCTGCTGTTACTTATTTACAGTAATACTCTTCTTCTCTCTCTCTCTCTTCATCTTGATCTCAAATCATTCTCAGAACTTCTTCTGATCTCATCACTACTGTATAAGACTCTTCACTGTCTTCTTCTTCAATCTCTCACAGGCAGTGTTATTCATATTATTTCTATACTTAGTTCAGTCTAAATCTATCAGAAGTATTACTTAAAATCATTATTATTCTACTTTCTTATAGAGTCTCTTCAAGACATTATAATGTGTTTTATGATCTGTCTTCTCTCACTTGAATATCTTCTTCTTCTCTCTCTTCAATCTGTGATGGTGCTCACGCGCCTTGATGATCCGCAGAACTGCAGAATATTTGAAGAGAGATGACATGATTGATTTCAGTAAGTGTTGAAGAGAGGTAAAGGCAGAAGAGATGATCAGAAATAATATAATAATGATGATGATAATAATGATGATAATGATGATGATGATGATGATAATAATAGTAATAATAGTAATGATGATAATGATGATAATGATGATGATGATGATAATGATGATGATAATAATGAAAGAGAAAGTGCATTGAAATATATTACTGACTTATCAAATATAAAGAGACTCAAAGAAAATATTAACAGCTTTCAATGATGTACAGAAACAGCTACAGTGTTGTATAGCAACATTATCTTTATTCAATGCATGCACTGTTGATATTCTTTGTATACAGTTATCATATAATCTGTATCAGAAATATATGCAGAAAACAGATCTTTATTACTAGAATAAATAGTTACAGCAATTCTCTATTTTCATATTATAAAGATAAGTTATTCTCATTTCTTTCTTCTCTCTTTTCTCTTATTCAATCAATCACTAATTTCAAGCTGATATGAAAACTATTAAAACACTCTCAGAAACTCTTAAATTGAAGAGTATAGACTAATCAAATTTCAAATGCAGAAGAAATCAAATTATCTTCTATCTTCTACAGATTCAATTATCTGTCTCTCTTCAAATAAAACAGCAGTCACATTCCTCTTTCCTTCTCTCAATCAAATGAAACATGGCCTGTGAAAAGTGAGTATCATGCCAGGCCATAATAATCAACACGGCTCCAGCATGCAGAGCTGCATATGCGCAGTATATGCTGAACTGAGAGACTGTGTGAGTTGCAAACCAGCAGCAGCATCTCAGAGAGAGTCATGCAGTGTGAGAAAGCTGCAATTCTCAGCCATGTGTGCAGAGAGTGAATCACTGCAGTAAGTACATATGCATTGAAGTAATGCTTTTTAATAATACTCAGTCTCTGATATGATGAAAATAGAGTCTCTCTGTGAGATCTGTTTCTATCAGAAGTCTGAGAATCTTATATTTCTCAAGATCATCTTCACGCGCCTTGTCTGTGAAATTGATGAGAAGAATCATTGATTTCAGTATTCTGTTCTTAATGTTATTCAAGTGGCAGCAGAGTTCACTCTGACCACACTTTTTAAGTGTATGTTTTCTAATTATTCACATTTATATAGATATATACTGATTATTTATTAGATGATGTTAAGATAATGACTCATCACAGCTATGTTACTCTCACTATGAGAAATATATAATTGATAATAAACATTGTAAAGACTCTGAAGAGTGAGTATTTTAAGAGTACTACAGCTCTGTGATCTTGATTTTTTTTTATTTTTATTTTTTGTTTTTTTCTTTTTCTTTTCTTTTTTTTTTTTATTTTTCTTTCTCTTTCTATCTCTTTTTTTCTTTCTCTTCTTTTTTTCTTTCTCTTTTTTTGTTTTTTTTTTTTTTTTTGTTTTTATTGGTTTATTTTTTATTTTTTTATTATTTTTTATATTTTACCTATTGTACATTTTTTTTTTAATTAAAATGATATTAATTATGATCTGTGTTCAGAAAAGTAATAATATTTGATAATACTCTCTATTGAATTTTCAACAAATGAGCACTATGTTATAATATTATGTAAGTGAGAAATGATTTCATGATCTCATTTAATGCTATTTTCAATAATGAGATCAGAATGAAAATGTGACTAAGAATTCAAATATATTCTTTATCTGAGACTAGATTTTTATTTGAAAAGTGAATCTGAGACCTTTAATATTTAAAATAACAGGATTTGAGATCAATGTAATGAATACAAACCATGATCAGAAGTAATGCTTTTAGGCAATGTGACAACTGTAAAGTTTGGTCCTGGTCTCAGACACGGTCACACGGTCAGTCTAGTTATCATACACATCTCATTCATTTTCATACATTATATGTTTAATCTATTTCCAACATCACATCACCTGAAAAACATCAAAAAAGAAAATCTCAAAACTCAAGATCTGTAAGAGATTTAAGAGCTGCAAGTCACTCTTATAATAATATCATATATATCTTCAATTTCTCTATCACTCTGTGTACAACATTAATGTCATTTATCATAAGATTGACTGAAATGTTAATATAGAAATGCATACACATACATGTAGAGAAATTGAAGAAGAGCACAGAACTCACAGAATCAGAAGTCAGAGTAGAGAGAATAGAGATAGAAGAAATAAAAGAGAGAGATGCAGAATCAGATGAATGATGAGAGTTACTCAGAACTAAATACTTATAACTCAGTGTATACACAATCTTTCTCACAGAGAAGAAAGAGAAAGTGACAGAAGAAGCTTAAGAGCAGAAGAGAGTAGTCTTAACAGTGTTATCATCTTCAATCAGAATGATCTCTGACACTGAAGTAACTAAGAATTATTATTAGTGTATGAAAATTATAAAATCAGAGATAAGAACAGTTACTGAATGAACATCTGCTGATCTTAGAGTTGTACATGCAATTATAACATGCACAAGGCTTCTCAGAAAGAGAGAGAGAGACATGAGAGAATGTAGAAAGCAGAACATAGTATGTGAACAGCTCATTCTCACAATGACATTTCAGATAAGATGTACAAGCCTTATATCTGTGAGTGTAAAAGAGTACAATATCTGCATTCTCATTTCTGAAAACACAGATATTCTTCACCTGCATTATGAAGTCAGATAATAAATATCAGAGAATAGACTGATACAGATCAATCATTCTGAAGATATTCATTAGAGCAGATATACTCATAATATTGAATTTAACAGTTGTGAAAAGTTTCTTGATATCTATGAATATCATGACTTTGTACACAGTAAAATCTATAATGATTTTCTTTAAGAACAGAAAAATTAGTATTAGAAAGAAAAGATGAAAAGAAAAAGACTTATAATCTTAACACTGTTGAGAAGAGAGATGATTCTCTGATATGAATAAATAATTCTCTTATCATGAATATTTAAAATGAATGTAATAATCAGTATCTGTAACTGAGCTTTAGATAGTTATATCATACACAGTCTTTATACAATAAATTATTCTAGAAGTCAGTAAGAAAGATGAGAGTATAGATGCTGATAAACATGATTCATTAAGTCTACATAACATCTTCTTGAAACAGAGAGAGCTGATAATGAAAGCAGAGACAGTAAAACCAGAAGTAGTAGAAGTAAGAATTATAAGAACAGAGATAGCAGAAGCGGGAGAACCAGACACAGAGATAAGTGTAGAAGATTGAGAAGCAGCAGAGAAAGAAACAGAGAGAGAAGCAGCAAAGAAAGAAGTGACAGAAGAGGCAAGAAGAGATATGAAAGACTCAGTTATATATAACACAGATAATTTCTTCATTATCATATTCTTCAAGTTCTTAATCAATAATTCAACATTGAGTTCACTATCATCAGTGAATGCAGATCTGTCAACATATAAGAATTCTATATAAATAAAAACAACATATCAGTATCTGCATTCACACAAAATCATGCTAGAAAAACATAATCAGAAACTCACTGAGAAGGAAATGATCAAGAATATATAAGAAAATGAAGAAGATATATCATTCATGATAATATATTCTGATAATCATTAGAAGATAAACAAGTTCTGATCACATTTCACAATGTATTACACTTACTGCTAACAAACTGTCTGATATGAGCACTATGATGACACTTGTTGTGAGAACAGAGAGTCATTGCCAGAAATACATATAATGTAATAGATGAACAGATAGAAAGAGTTGAATAGAAGAAGAGATAGAAATCTTGAATAATAATAGTATTTAATGATGATGATAATAAAGAACATGATTGAAGAATGAGAAAAGTTAGTGAATAAGTGATATAATATAGTGAAAGTTTGTTTGTGAGAGTGTATACAGAATGCTAGCTGAATCAGAAATAGATTACATAATTGTGAAATGCTAGTGACGAGCTAATCCGTATGAAGCTAGAGTGTATGATATGATTATGTGAGCGTGACTGAATCTGATGAGGGAGAATGTAGTTCGGAAGAACATATGACTATCAGATAATAACACAGTCACTTCTGAACTACTAGTGTACATGTACAAGTGTAAAGGGGCTATAGCAGCCGCTAATTAATTTAGCGTATGATATTACAATATATAAGAAGCCGGTGTACGTCTGTAATCATATGCTGACTTAAGCAACCTTTGAATCACACTTAAGATCTATCTAGAGAATAAGTTGAGAGACTTTATAAGCTAAACAGAGAATACCTGAGCTGTAATCATTAATATTAGAAAAAGAGATGAGAAATCTGATGAAGACTACTCACAGTACTTTATAAAATTATAATATGAATTAAGATCTGTGAAAATAGAGCTCTGAAACAAGATCTGAATAATAATATTTATAAAAAAGCTGAATAAAAATATACAGAATAAGCTTATTAAGTAAGACTCTAAGTTCTTAACTCTGAAGAATCTGATAACTCTTATTCATCACTTACAGATTACTGTAAGAGTCATAGATCTGCAGAGAGTAGATTATTAATCAGCTCTGTAAGAGTCAGAATAACAGAGAACAGATTTATCAGAAAAAGATAATAAGATATAGAGAGATTCATATCTGACTACTGAGTAGAGAGAAAGAGCTTTATAAGCTTCTATAAATAGAGTATATAATAGAGAGATTAAGAAAAAGAGACTCTGCTTTATCTATTTTAAATTAGAATATCTTCACACTAACTGTCTGAATAAACTAAAATAGAAATTTAAGAAGTTATAGACAGAGTTAGTAACAGTCTTCTTAAGAGTCTTAAAGCTGATATCTGAATCTGTTACTTCTCTGATAAAAATACTTACTTATAGAGAGAGACTGTATCACAATACTACTATCTCACAAGTATGAAAAGTATTAATAAACTCAGAATCTCAGATCACTGTAGTATCTCTAAAGCTCACAGAGTGAATATATTAAATGATAAAAACTAAGAATCTGCTCTTATAATAAGCAGAATACAAGAACTCAGATCTGAGAACTGAGAG